TTTTTTTTTGGCTTTTTGTGTCACACCTGGTGACGCACAGGGGTTGCTCCTGGCTCATGCACTCAGGAATTACCCCTGGCAGTGCCCGGGGGACCATACGGGATGCTGGGAATCGAACCCGGGTCGGCTGCGTGCAAGGCAAACGCCCTACTCGCTGTGCTATCACTCCAACCCCGCAACACCCATCTCTTTGACCAGTGTACATATCCCACCTCCAATTCCCCAGCTTCCCTCCCTCCACCCTCGCCATCCTGTCTCTATGTCAATCGCCCTTCCCCAACACCCCTCACTCCCTTTTTCTCCTTTTAGGTATTTAACACCGGTTCTGTGGTAGGTACCCTGTTAAATGCTGAGGTATAAATCAGTGAACCAGATAAATATAGTTTCTACTCTATGCAGCTTTTAAAATCCAGTTGGATATCTTGACACTAATCAACTGTGAAAGAATTAAGGCAATAGTTGATATCAATGTAGCAAATCAAATAGCAGATGCTTACATCTCTCAATCTACTGTAAAACCGTGGTTGCCCAAAGGGGTTGCTTTGATTATCTAAATTTTAATTTGACTAATGGAAGAAATTTCTATTAAACTTTAAAAATGCAGAAATTTGGGACCAGAGAGAGTACAGTGGGTGGAGTGTTTGCCTTGGATGTGGCCAACCTGGGTTTAGTCTTCAGTATTGCAAATGGTTCCTGAATACTGCCAGAAGTAATCCCTGAGTGAAGAGGTAAGCCTTGTGGTGGTCCAAACCTCCACCCAAACATACAAATATTAAAAACCTACTATAAAGGTATTAAATTGTTATTTCTTAAAGTATCTGTGTCACGTTTAAGAACAGACAAAGACAATTTTTAAAGGCAAAAGTGCTAGTTATCCTAGAAATACCTTTAAGTAAGTTAGTTTCCAGGGGAATTCATGAGTGCTTTAGGTTAATGGTCAGGGGCCTCATGTTCAGCCCTTAATTAAACTCTGAACTTCAATTGTTATTACTTAATTGACTTGGTTATATTTCATGTCAACGTTTCAAAATGGCTTTCCTTTTAAAAAGTGAAAAATTACCTTGACATAGAGCTATAGATTTTTAGCTGGGCCTGACACTCTGGGAGAATCCGCCTACTAGTACCTTAACATAAGTGGGGTCTAGAATTTGCTTAGCTTTGCTCTGGGATGTTTCCCACCATCATAGCCAGATAAATCCAAGTGAGGAGGAAGAAAAGGATATAAAACTAAATAGAGCTATTGGCACAATATTATTAAAATGTCAAACAAATCCATCAATCTCCACTTTATTCTAAGCTCAGGGAATTAGACAGTCTTAACAAATACTTTGAATATCACAAAAGTTGTCAAATTATGCTTATTTTAGATCTATCTTTTCCTTACAAGTGACTCCAAATGTTTAGTGGTTCCAGTTTAGTCAGATGAAAACTTAAATCCTTTTTACTAAATACATGAAACAGCAGTAAGAACAGGTTGGATTTATTTATATAGAGTGGGTATGATGCCAAGATCGAACTTTGCTATACCCACTGAAACATAGGCAGGCATCAAATGAGCATTTCCCCTTCCTCTGTATTGTGGAAAATTTTAAAAAGTTTTTTTGGAAGTACTTTGATCCAGCTTTGAAATCATTTTAGTGGATCACTATTGTAGGAAAACTGTAATTTATAGTGCTTGACCTAAGCAGCCCTTTGTCTCACCAGCATATTCAAAACAATAGCAGGAAAGTGAAAAACACAAGGGGAACCCAGGCTGTTCTGGTTATTATTTAATTCATAATTCCACCTTCCTTATTTAATCTTTGGAATCCAGGCATGCTCTGACTAATACACTATGTTTACTGTATACAGGGAAATTAATTTTGGGTAACACAACTAGATGATCCAAACTTTGTCACATGCAACCCTTCCCAAAAATAAGATTGACTTTATAGCCAGGCTCAAAGAGGTGCTTTTCTATAAATGGTGACATAGCGATTTTGCCTTTAGACCTTAGCCCAATTAGGAGATGTTCCCAATCCATTCTTGTCCACAAATAATTATACTTTGAGGCAATTTGTTTCCATTAGATAGCAAGGAAAAAGAAGCTGCTCCAAGATGAATATGCTAGGAATGATTCTCTAACTAAATCAAACATTTTATAACTTTACTTGTTGTCTTTTTCAATTTTGGACCACGCTGGTTCATGGATCATATCAAGCACTTCAGTGTGCAAAGCAAGCACTCAGACCTTTGAGCTCTTTCCTGGCCCTTCACTTAGTAGAACAGAACACCACCACTCCGGTTGAGTGTAGTTGGGAACATTACTTGATTCTTTAACTCCTGTTGCCAAAACATTTACTAATGGCATAAACCTCGTACCAGATTGACCCTGTAAAATTTCAATAGCTTAGTTAAATGGTCTAAGAACTTCAGGTGGCACATACACAGGTGAATAATCTGGTACATGGAGAGTATTTAGATCTGCTTTCCCCCTAAAAATATATGGTTCAGGAGTTACATGAGGGTGGGGGTGGGTCCATTTTACTTCTGGGATCATTTGCTTGAGAGAAAAAGAGCCCAGGAGTCCTGACAAGGTACATAGTGTATGTCTATAAATGGAAGGTAACTGGACAAGGCTAATGATGAGGAAGGTGATGAGAGAGAGAGAGAGAGAGAGAGAGAGAGAGAGAGAGAGAGAGAGAGAGAGACAGGCAGAGAGAGAGTAGTATTTGATTGTGTGTGTGTGTGTGTGTGTGTGTGTGTGTGTGTGTGTGTGTGTGTTGTGTGAGGTTTTGGGCCATACCTAGCTGTGCTCAGGGCTTGCTTACTTCTGCTCTGCAGTCAGAGATTACATCTCGCAGGGCTCAGGGAATCACACAAGGTGCCAGTAACTAAACCCACTTGGCCCACATGCAAGGCAGTTTCTCCAGGCCCAGAGGAAGTAGCATATTTGTTTTGGGGACTGCACCTGGCAGTGCTCAGGATTTACTCCTGGCTCTATTCTCAAGGCTCACTTCTGGTGGGCTAAGGAAATCAAGTGAGGGGCTGAGGGTCAAACCTGGGTCAGCCGTGTGCAAGTACCTTACCCCCTGTACTGTCTCTCAAGCTCTGGAAGTAGCACTTGAAAGGGGTTATTTCAGCTAAAACACCATCTCTGTAGCAGGGATCCAGTCAGAAAGAAGAGATATTGCAGGTATTTTGGTTCCAGAGAGGACAGGAAACAATGGGTGTAGCTCCTCAGCGAGAAGCACTGAATTAACTGTTCACTTGGGTGCTGTGCATTAATTAGTATGGCTCACCAGGGACCATTTAGCAGATTACCTCATCCAGGGCTCTAAGCAATTCTCTGGCAGCTTGAATGAATTAATGCTTGCGCTCCCCTCTCCCAGACTGCAAGACCAACAAGTTACTCTTTTTCAAGGTGGAATCAAGTCTTGCTGATAACGAGCAAATTCACACATATATGGTTAAAAGAAAAAAGAAAAGAAAATTATTCACCCTAGAGACCTAACTTTCTCTTTTGAATCTTTGAACCTTCCCTTTATTTGAGATTTTAGGAGGGTTTAGAAGAACTGACATATAAAAAAGAAAGACTTCCCATTATTTTTTTTGGGGGGGGGTAGGCATAGAGATGGAAGTGGAAAGAAGAGACACCTTAAATATCAGTGCTGGATCAGCTCAGCTCTGAGCAGATCCCTTTGCTTCAAATAGGACCTCTCAATTGACTGTAAGAGCAGATGCTTGGCAAGTTTATATATGCCAGAGAGAACATCATTTAGTTTACGTTTTATATGCACTCCTGCCTTCTAGCTTGGCATAATTCATTAGCACAATTTTCAGAAGGCACATAAACGATGACAGCATAAAAAAGGTTGTCATCTAATGTCTATATACCATAGCTGTTTCTATTCTCTAAACTCAGAAACCAACCAACAAACCAACCCAAGCAAATAAGCTACATATATAAATGTACAGCCTCAACAATGGCAATTATTTCTTACACTGAAAACAACAACCAAAAACAGGTTTTTACCTTGCAATTTGTGGACACAACTATCCCCTCCTCATTTGAAAGTAGAAAGAATATGCACACCAGCCTTTATGTAAGTTAAAGCTCAGTTTAGAATAAACTGTGACCTTACTGGAGTATGTATTGTCTACTTCTAGTTCTCTCCCACCTTTAAAGGACACATTTTAAAACTTTCAAAAAAGTAGAGAGTGGTGATTTTGCCAAAGTCCACCACATTTTGGTAATATATTATGCCAGGGCACCAGGTAGAAGAATGAATATAAAATGCAAACACCTCTTTTAAAATTAAAAAATTATTTGTATACCATCATAAATTTAATGTGAAACAAACAAATCCTTGATAAGGGCTTAACAGGATTTTCAACATCTGTGCCCACAAATATAATTTATTCCTAGAGAAGAAAAGGCAGTTTCGAGAAGCATGAAAACTTTTTTTTAACAAGACTTTTGCTTAAAATGTACGTGTGTTGTGGGAGAGGTAGTACAGTAGTAAGGTGCTTGCCTGGCATACAGCCAACCTGAGTTCCATCTCCAGCATCTCATCTGCTCCCCTGAACTTGCCAAGAGTGCCAGGACTAAGCTCTGAGCACAGCTGGGTCTCAGCAAAAAAAACTCCAAGCAACAAAAAATGTGTTTGTCTGTGTGTGTGTGTGTGTGTGTGTGTGTGTGTGTGTGTGTGAGAGAGAGAGAGAGAGAGAGAGAGAGAGAGAGAGAGAGAGAGAGAGAGAGAAGCACTGTACCTATAAAAACCAGCAGAATTACCATTTTATATCATCTTTTGCTTTCTTGTATAATATAACCCACAACAGAGTTAAAGTTCATTCATTTGGACCTGGTATTCCGGTATGTTTGTGTCCTTCAAATGAAAAAGTAGTAGGCACATTTTTGCAATTTCACGAACAAATGAACAAAGTACAAATAACAGATTAAGCTTTTGCACTATATTTAAATTGCACATATTTTTTTTATTATATTCTATATTGTACAACAAAAGTATGAATATCTGCACCACATTCGACTTGAAACAAGCACAATACTTAAAATTATCTACATAAGTTACACTTTTACTATTGTTTCCAAATGTACTGACTCATTACTATAAAACTTACTTTTGTCAACATGGGGGGAAATATTTTACTAAATGCATTTCTGGGTCTCGATTTTTAATTTTCCCAAAGTTAAGGCTTGATAATGATTTACTGATGTTTTGCTTGAGTGAAATTTAGTTTGCAATATAAAAAAAGTTACTAAACGAAAAGGGAGCAATCACAAAATCTTTATTTTGCTAACTTGAAAACCACTCTAGGTTTGAATACTTAATCATTCCAAGCTGAACATAGTTAATTTCTAAGTTATTCTAATATTAAATAGTTATGAACTGTAGGCACAATGCAGTATACGGAATGTGCTTTAAAAATTTTTTTACTCATAAAAATACAACCTACTGTCTACTCTACATACTGACAACCAGCCGTATTAAAAACAAACTCTTGTCAATGCTTGGCACCGAGCCTCAGTCATCTCCCTCAGCTCCCAATCCAAAGAATTGTGCTTTCCAGACACAATGTAACTAATACTTTTAAATGAGATAAATAGAAAATGTTTAGTGTTCAAATAAGTACTATAAAAAAAGAGGAAATTCTCATCAAGTCTATTTTTTCAGCTTGGCTCATTTCCATAGAACTCAGGAAACCGTAAAGACTGGACAACACGGGCACACAGTCCAGGCCAGACCCAAGTTCTGTGGGAGCCCTTTAGGTGAGAGGGGAAGGTCTGATGCAGGCTTCGTGGCTTGAGATTTTCAAGGATTTGGCTAGATTATTCCAGGCCAGCCTGTAACCTAACACTGGGTATCTGTATGTGAAGAGAAAGGGGAGGGAGCAAGAATGAAAGGTGGCTTAGAAAAAAAAAATTAGAGGGTGATTTGGTAACTGGGAGGAGAATTGAAAAATCACACCTTTCAGCCTCCACATTTTTTCTTTTGTTCCGTCTACAAGGAGAAACCTTCCGGAAGGAAGAAAGATTATGACTATCTATAAACTAACTGTTTGACAGAGACAGAAATGCTGATAATGAGTGGGTTGTGTCTGTCGTCCTTAGCTGCTCACATCAGCAAGGGATGAAGGAAAACAGAAACTCTTGATATGTTTGTCTAAAGAGGCAGCAGTGGGACTGCGGGCAGCAAGGGTTCAGCTGAAGTTCAGGGCAGATGCTGCCAGGAGTTTACACTGCAGGAAAGTAAAATTGCTTCCGGATTCACCTTTTCCTCCGGGCTTCTCTTCCAGGACCATCGGGGTCAAGCTGTGCTGTGGCATAACGTGACAATGTCCGTGGGGAAACCAGCTTTGAGCAGGATGCCCCTCTCCCGGTTACAGTCCAGCTCCTGGATGAATCCGTACCAATAGATGACTAAGCCTGGCCCAAATCTGCAGAAACAGGAGAAAATAACATATGCAAAATAGTATCAACACCAATTCCAGAAGAAGGCTACCCTAAAAGCATGTATAAAATGATTCAATGGCATTACTGCACAGTTTTCCACTTTCTTGCTGTGACTGAAAACAGTGGAACTTACAGCTGAGTTTATTTAATTACAAGCATTACCACCTAAGATGGAGTACTGTCCTTTCTTTTTCGGAAATTGAAGTTTTCAGATGTATGTGCTTGCCCAAATAATTACCTTTTTGTAAGGCATGCTCTGCTTGGGTTGATGCGACTCTTTAGTTGATTAAGGATAAAAACCAGAGTTGGGTCAGTGACCATGTGTGGAGAAGCACTAGCTTTGGACCTTTAGTCTCCTAACACTTCAAGGTACTATGTGTAAGTATGACTGAAAGGTTACACTTATCTATTTTTCAAATTAAGAAAAGTTATTTGGAAAATAATTTGAAAAATGAAACAGCTCAAGCACCAAAATTCAGGCACCAAATGGACCCAAGTATCTTCTATCATCCATTATTTCGAGTCTCTCAAAAATAAAAACTGCACTAAACCATCTGGAACCCTCCAAGAGAACCTTCTCTCCAATCCTTCACACTCTGCTACAGCTCCAGTAAGTGTGAACAAAGTACAAAATTTGTAGGTTCTTATCAGGAAAACGAGAAACAGTGTTATGTAGGCTTACAGCAAAGTCTGGACTAATGCAGGCCAACACTTCAATATTTCTAAATTGTGCCAACTGATTATCTACACTTTGATTAGGAGTGACTGATTCCCGCCAGGCAGACTCAGGAAGTAGCCCTATAGACGACTTCACCCATCAGGAAGTTGAGACCTCTAGGCTGGGTTCATAAAGATGTAATCACTATCAATCACTGTGCACACAGAGATGTTTTGCACATCAGTTTCACATTTTTCCTATTGAGAGTACTTAATTACAGGGCAGCACTACTTTTGGTGTAGTGTTGCAGGAATTTTACAGTGAAATCATAAATTATGAATGTTGGGTTAGTAAAAGGATGTCTAAAAACAGAACTGCTTTCTGTATTCTGACATTACAGCAGGCTGAACCATGTTAGGCCAAAAAGCTTTTTCCTTTCATGATTTATTATATGCTGCCATGTTCTTGCCAAAACTAACAGTTCAGGATGGGCTGAGAGATACTGTACACACAGGAACAAGTTCAGTTGGATGTCATGGAATGGGTTACTTGGGGATTCACATCAGGAGAACAGCTAAGTTGGATGCAAGATTCACTGACTTTTACACTCTTTCCATGCAGGGATAGAGGAAGGAAATGTGTTAAATGAACTTGTTCTAGGGGACACAGGAACGAGCAGGGTATGATGAGACCTTCGGAACATCAGGCTATGTGATATATACCTGAATTCTGGATTTGCTGTAGATACTCTTTTTCTGTGTCTCTAAAAAAGAGCTGCCTTTGAGCACTCCCAGAGAGCACTCCAGTAGAATCAGTGTCTCTGTGGCATAGGCAGTGGAAGCCCTATGCTTGAATGCATACAATGTGAAGATCATTCTAGGGTGAGAACTAGCTTCCATTGAACTGTGGGTTTTTTAGTAAGCTTCAGTCATAAACAACTGTGTACAACTGGAACATATGGACACTTAGAATCTTTATTTTATAGAAAGCTCAAATTATCTCTGATTTATCAAAAAAAAGTCCATTAAGAGCAGGAGAACCTATAATTCTGCAGATCATGTCTGAAAAGCCCTAAACCTTCCCAGATTTTACTCAGTGAAGACTTCGCATACAGCTGAACACATTCTCCCACGGTACTATGCAGTCATTCCAGAGAACACAATGTTCTTTAGAATGGTACTAATATTTTTACGAAGGGAGGGAGAAAAAGTGATCTAACTAGTCATGGAAAAGAACAAAAGAATATATGGAGGTCATAAACAACCAACCCACGACTTTAAAGATTTAATAAAACAAAAACACATATCAGCAGCACGGAGATGGCAGGAGTAGGCTGCACTTTCCCTGAGCAGCTAAATCATAAGCCCAAGGACATGAAGCATGACAGCTCTTTACAAAAATGGCATTTTCCAGGCAGAAAAGCCAGGCTAGGGAACACCTCAATGCCCAAGAAAATGGACTCGTTTCACTTGTGAGGCAACAGACGAAATCGGCAACTTGAAAAGGTTTTGCAAGATTGTGAATCTGAACATTTCATGTAGTGGCTCATGACCAGAACTCCCTGAAGGTAGCCATGTGGATGAAGAAACTATTTTCAGGATATATGAAAAGTGGCTCCTAATGAGGCTCTCCTTGCTCCTGAAGTTTTCATTTCCAAGTCTTTAGGAAAAATTTGGTTAACTGAGGTAGTAGTAGTTCTCTCATGGGCCTCAAAAGCTCTGATCAACTGGATGTGTTTAATTAAAAATGAGGAAACATAATGTCACTTTGTAAATTGCAATTGGTAGACAGAACTTTTAAAATTATATGGTATTCCAATGCAAAAATAGTAGGGATTTTAAAAGATCACTGTAGCACTGTCCTCCTGTTGTTCATCGATTTGCTAGAGTGGGCACCAGTAACATCTCTATTGTGAGATTTGTTATTGTTTTTGGCATATCGAATACATCATGGTAGCTTGCCAGGCTGTGCCGTGCAGGCGGGATACTCTCAGTAGCTTACCAGGCTCTCCAAGAGGGGCGGAGGAATCAAACCCAGGTCAACCTTGTGTAAGGCAAACACCCTACCGGCTGTGCTCTCGCTCTAGGCCGGAGGCAAGTTTGGAAATCTAACCACAGAGCAAGATCTGGCTTTGTTCCCAATACCTACTTTAGCCTTATTCTCAGCTTTCCTGGACAACTCCAGGTTCAGAGATTATCAGATACTAGCAAGAAATCCTTTCAACAATCTGTTTATGAAGAGGCTGACCTCATTAAGCAATTTTAATATAATCAACACTTTGGTTAGCTGAAGTAAGAGAAGGAAACATTTTGGTTGTTAATTAAAAAAAATAAACAACACAACCTGAGCATTTCCTTTAGACAAGATGCAAATCAGGGAGAAAACAGAACCAGGGAATTTTTATGCAGCTCAGATACATACTTAAGGGCTGAGTAATTTTACCATTTTAGTGCTTATTCCTATCTATTGTGGCACTACTAGACAAGAATGAGATCACCGGAAAGGCAAACATAACCTCTGTGATCAATAAAAATCTAAGGGACAATTAACAATGTTCAAAAGAAAATAGTTTCCTCTTTTGAGGGAATGTGCAAGGCAGAGAGTTGGTCTACTGCTAGGAGTGCAGCCTCCTTATTGCCCAGAAACTCTATGTGATGGGATGTCTATGGATACACAAACTCATTTTGCACACACACTTCAAGGTTGACTATAATTTTAAAGTTGCAATCCTCATGGTCAAGTAGTAAGATCAAAGACTTCAGCCGGATTTTAAAAGCTCCTGTGGAGCAAAGATTGGAATGTGAGTGACATCTGAACAAGTCATTTTGCTTACAAGCAAAATATTACCAAATCTGCAAAAACAGTAAAAATCCCTGGAAAAAGTTGGAGGTGAAAAGTCAAGAGCTATGACAGACTTTGAAGGTATGAAAGCTTAAGTTTCTTAGTGATAATGACAACCTAATGAACACATTTGAAATGTTTCTCTAGTTTCCTTCCATAATTAAGCATTTAGAGAAATCAAACAGAAGGGCATGAACCAAAAGTTGGGTGCCCTTTTGGGGATCCTGGTATTTTTCTTCCATAGTTTTGTTCCATTTTGCCACTAAGGGCAAAAATGCATGTCTTATTGATATTACTGTCCTCCAGGCCTATGGTACTGTGTGATACATGACAGATAACTTTGAGAGCGCTTAATATATGCCAGACTGCTCTAAAAACTCTATGCATATTATGACTCTGTTACTCATCAGGTCAATTCTACAAGGGAGCTACCATTATTGTTCTCGTTCTTCAAATGAAGAAAATGAGACATAGAGCTTTCAAGTATCTTGCCATCTTGTCAAATCTAAAATGTAATAGAATCTAGGGAGTTTGATATAGGGTGTCTGACTATTTCACAATGATGCAATCAGTTGGCTATATGGGGTGATTGGTCTTAGAATATTGTACTCCTGAAACTCAGTCATGAAGAACTTTGTAATTCATGATGATTCAATAAAAATATTATAAAGAAGAATCAGGTTTTATTCAACACAAAATTATTTCTATAACTGTAGCTTTATGGAATAAGTTGTTATGCAAATTAGGGCATTTCTGTGACTGGAAGTATCAAAATTAAGGTTGTTTTTATCATCAATTAAAAATATTAGGCAACATATTTAAAAGTGGGCATTTTGAATACAAGATCCTACATATTAAAATGCCTTTGGGAAATAAATTGATCTGGCAACATTGAGATGTCCCTTTGCCATAGTCCCCACCATTCTCTGTTAATCTACAACTTGGGCATGAGTCATTTATCACTCTGTTTTTATTTACTAAAAAAATTATTTTTAAGTTGAATCACTATGAGATAGTTACAAAGCTTTCATGATTTTCAGTTATACAGTGTTCCAATATCCATGCCTCATTGGTATACATTTCCCACCACCAATATCTACCTTGTCCCTCCTGCCACCCCCCTTCTCACCTCCTCCCCACCCCCTGCCGGCCACCAGCCATGGATACTGAGAGGCCATCATGTGTGGTCATTTGCCCACTTTCAGCACACATCTCCAATCTGGAGCAATCCTTTCCAACCATTATTGTCATAATGGTTCTGTCTCTCTCCCAGTCCTTGAAGCTGGCTTCCAACTGTGGACCATTTGTCCTGACCCTTGTTTCTTCTGATTTTGGGTGTGAGTCTTTTACTATGTTTTCCCTTCCTTCCTTCCTTCCTCCTTCCTTCCTTCCTTCCTTCCTTCCTTCCTTCCTTCCTTCCTTCCTCCTTCCTTCCTTCCTTCCTTCCTTCCTTCCTTCTTTCCTTCCTTCCTTCCTTCTTTCCTT